TTTTGGTGTTTTTTATTTTTCTTTTGAGAGCTAAAATATGTGCCTGAATGGGAAGAACAGGAGAAAGGGCATCTGAAATCCTGCCTCATTCATTCATTCAATAAATACATATTGAGTTTCTACTATATGCCCGGCAGTGTGCTAAATTCTGAGGATGTGGCAGGAAAAAATGGACAAGTGTCCTGCTCACCGGGAGCCCACAATATAGACTGTAAACCAGGGGAGAGTGGTTTCGGTCTACTCACTTACCACCCTGGCTCCTTGTTCGCTAATGTGTAAAATAAAGTTGTTAGACTAGATACTCTTTCTCTGATGTCTCGGGTAACTCACGACGGCTTTGGTTCTTAAATCAGAGACCACTTCCTTGATAATGCAAAGAACTGAAAGTTCCAGAGTTTCTAGCTTTAGGGTAGCCAACGGATTGAAAGGGGGAGGCTGAAGAATTTGCAGGGAAGCTCCATTTCCTGAGTCAAGACAGTATTTCCAATGACGTTGAGTGCCATTTAAGATGATGGGCAAGTGGAAATTGAACCAAGGCTCACGTCCCCAGCCGTCCCCGTGGCACCGCCTGTGTTTTGTCTTCTTTTATTCCTTTCCTTTTTATTTTATGTTTTGCCTCTTCATCCCAGTCTGGTACGTGAGACAACTAAATTTGAGACCATGAGCTAGCAAAGTCAGAGCCAGTTCAGGTCAGGCGAAAATGAACTCATCCGTTTCCATTTTGGGGGATAGAGTGGGAAGAAACAGAGACGTGCTCCAACTTCAGAGTCAATTAACACAGAGATGAAAAGCCAGCACAACCTAAGTCTGTGTTTTCCTGAGAGCTTTCTGGGTCCAGGATGAGAGCAGGGGGCCTGGGGAAACTTCAAACAGCCTGCACTTTCCTCTTCTGATGTCCACAGAAACAACAGACTAAAGGAGTCTTAAAGAATCACCTGAACTGAGGTGCCATTTTTGTTGGTACTCCTAATACCATGCTCCTTGTCCTGGTTGGACAAGAAACTCTCTGATTTTTAAAGACCACAGGAAAGTGATAATCAGCTTGGCCATTACATCCTTAACCAGATATTCTGCTGTTGAACAGTTCTATCTATTGCAAATCTCATTCTCTGGGTTGACCTGGATCCCCATTCTATAATTCTCTCCTATTTTCTCCTTCTGTCATTTGCTTTACTGACTAAAGAAAAGGGGGCCAACCATATATTCTTTTCCAGTTGAATACTGCACATCCCACATGCTTGTTTGGAAACAGTGCCATACCTGTGCACTGGTGACCTAGAGACGGCATGAAGTTCATCGTAGGCCCCAAACAATGTTCTCCTGCCATGTTATTTTCCGCAATGTTTGCATTGTCTGGAAAATGTCCTTAGATTTTTCACCAAGTTTCTCCTCCATCTTGAATAAAATCATTCTGGATTTTAATTTTCTCTGGGTCAGCCTGGGGTCACCTATTAACTGAATGAACACAAACAGGTTCTTGGTGCCATCACTGAGTCGTTGCTGAAAATATGAAACCCCTGCAGACCTGGGACCTCCCCAGTAGATATCACTCCCCCACATTATCACATTTCCTTCCTGGACTCATTTGCACTTTATAGCTCTCTTGCTCAGGAATTGCATTGCTAGTCCCTACGGCTCTAGACATCTGTTTTCTTAACATTAATTTCATGTTCTTTTTTTCATATTCCCCAGCTCCTTCTTGCAAAGGATACGCCTTGACCCCAGGGAGCACTGTCGTTCGGATGAAGTGATTGCTCGAAAATGCTTATTTTTAATTCTTTCAAAGCTTTGTGAAAACTTCTTTAAATCTGTACAAACATGACTGATTTTCAGACATTCACTCGGGACTTGTTACATGGCTGCAAACAGCTTCTGCATAGGAAAAGCACATTGTGTTATGTTTGTGTCTCTTATAATCCAAGAGGGTGAATCAGCTCTACATAATATTTAATAAAAACAGCAACTCTTCAGAGAACGGTTACTTCTAGGCAAGAGTGTCTGGGAGATCATGCTTGCCTTTTGTCAGTTGGACTAGAAAGCTTTATTTTCTAAAAATATTTTAATGTGTATTTATTTTTGAGAGAGGGAGAGAGACAGAGAAAGAGCGAGAGAGAGCGAGAGAGCATGTGCAGGAGGGGCAGAGAGAGGGAGACAGAGGATCTGAAGCAGGCTCCATGCTGACAGCCCAGAGCCTGATGTGGGGCTCGAACTCACAGACCACGAGATCGTGACCAGAGCCAAAGTCGGACGTTTAATGGGCTGAGCCTCCCAGGAGCCCTAGAAGGCTTTATTTTAGACGGTAGCTTTATTCTGTCCCTTTTTTCAGAATTTGGCAAACTGACCTGTATGACCCAAGGTCCACAGACAATAGTAATTCATCAAACGGTTCTCAGATGGGCGAATAGCTCCTTTCGCTGCTTGAATGGGCTCCCTCATCTGTGAACGACTGTTACCATTCTGATGGCGAGTGGAAGATTTCTAAAACGTTCCTTCCAATTTCACACCAGATTTAGAACCAAAATAGAAGCCTTGTCCTTACTTTAACTGGTACTGTATTGACCAGGAAACAGAAAAGTTGCCTGCAGACTGGAAGCTAGGGAAGCCAAAGCGCAAAAGAACCAACACACTGATCTAAAGACACACGACGAGCCACCAGGCAACCTTGGAAACGAATCCAGATTCTCGCCTCATAATCCGCCGCTTACTGCCTCCCGAACATACGACGTACTAGAAAGAGACACATCTGGGTTCAAACCCCAACGGTCACTGGTAGATGCTGTGACCTTCGATGACGGTTTCTCTGAGCTTCTGTTTCCCGATCAACAAGGTTGTTGTCAAACCTCTCTCGGAGAGTTGTGAAGATCAATAAAGTGATGTCAGAGCGATGAGGATAGTGTGCGGAACGCATCTGGAAGCTGCCATTTCAGCAACATATTCCTACCTCCATGGATTTTCCTTAATGATTTCTACTTTAAAATAAACATTAATAACAAAACCTTGCGTATTGCCGCTTAGCTTCCGGATCTCTGGTGCTGCATATATAAAAACAAGACAGGGGCTATTGAGCAGGGCACGGTCATGAGAATGGGGTCTTGATTGTGGACATAAGTCCAAGACTAATTCAGAGTGGATGTGAGAAAGCAAACTCTTCTGGAAATTCATCTCTGTCTGTACCTCTGTCTTCAGGTCTTTGTGTTTTCCCCTCATATCCTAAGTTTCTGGCCACTACTTGTTTCTGATTATTATATTGTCATGCTTCATTTTCTTTATTTTTCTCCTATCATATATATTCCATATATATGCTCTTTATCTCTTAATTCTTTTCCGGCTTCTCTTGTTTATTCCCTGTGAATATATTAAGCCAGAAAACTGGAACATCTTCATATTGGTGAAGTCACAGTTGTGGGATTCTATATCCTGGAAAAGTATGTCACGCAATCTCCCCACGTAAAGAACTGACTTATTAAAATCCATATTCTTGGGCTCCAACCCATATCTAATGAGTCTATCTGGAGTGAGGGGTATGTGGGCGAGGGTGCAGGGAATTTCTATTTTTAACAAATGCCCCAAGTAGTACTTCTGATCTGACAAATTTGAGAAAAAAACTTTCCCCTTTGGCCAGGTAGTTTTACATGGTTTACTGGCTCTGGGCAGCCTGTACCAAAATCATGAGTCTGAGAGAGCTAGGTGAGAGAATGTGGATGAGTTTATACCAATTCATGCCCCTTTTGAGAAAATGTATTCTCTAATGCATAGCCTAAGGGTCTTGGTTTAGAGGAATCCTCTTTTTATTTATCGGACAGTGTGCTACAGAAGCTTTAGAATTCATACACAATGATAGTCAAATGATTTTATTTTTTACGCTGGAGATGTACAAAGATCGCTGTTAAAGAAGGGAAGTTTAAACAACAGAAATCAACAGGCTTGTCTCAAATTCTAAATGGTCCCTGTCTCGTTGCTGCCCTTGTAACACGTAAGATGGTTTACATTGTTATTTCTGATTGTTGGCTTTTGTCCTGAACCCCATTCTCATCTAGGGAAGAAACTAGTTGAAACATGGCGGGCACAAGCAGAAGGTACAACTTCGATGTTTTGGGGATTGTGTGGCTAAATATCCACAGAGATAGGGACACGATTTGCAGCCTGTCCTACCCACACCCAACCTTATAAGAGAGGATACCTCCCTAGGGGTGTCTCCAAAGATCTGCGAATTTGTCACTCCAGTTTCTTCAGACACGTAAGCGATCCGGAACATTTTGTAAAGTTAGCTTTTTGGTAGAATCCAACCATTATAACACCTTAACTTTGAAGGAAAAGAATATAGAACTACTGTGCCAATAGGTCAAAGTGGATTCTGAAAGATGTCCTGCCTCGTGTGAAACACGCTCTCGCGTTGAGTATGCGTGCCTCAATGGCTCACTGAAGGTCATCTTGCCAACGACGGCCATTGACCCCCAAAGCAGTGGCCCACCAGCCAGCGGCATTTGATGATGGGTGATTAAGAAGGGGTGTATTAAAGGCCATTGCCAGCAAGTTGATAAGGGTTAATGCAGAGAAGAAGCAGCACGTGGAAACAAGCCAGTTTGTTGAGCCAACACAAGACATGCTAACCGAATCGTGTTCTGCTAGGAGAGCTGGGAAAATAGAGGAGCTCACCCTGCGGGGCAGACCACACACACCTGGTATGCTGTGTGTGCCACTCACGGAGATTCCATTCACATGTGTCACCAGAAAGAGCTTTAATTTCTGAACACTTCTAGAAATCAACTGACGCCGTTTACTCCAGCGGGAATGGCAGGCAGCCATCCTGGAGGATATTAAACAGTCCTCTCCCGTCTCCACAGTGGCTTATTGTCTCAGCATAAAAACATTTGTTTAAATATTAAACAGTGAAATCTCGCCTGGTCATTAAAGCCCATAAAAAAAAAAAGAAGAACAGGACGGAAATTGGTTAATAATCTTAGACTTTGGCCAACTGAGTGGCTGGAATGCCATTTGTCTTGATGGCATGTCAACCACCCAGAGGAAGCCCCGTACATCACAAAGCCGGCTTCGTCCTCACACTGTTTACAGGACCCTCGTGATACGTGCTTCTCGTCTCCTTAAACGTGCGTCTGCCCGGTGAGATCGCTTGCAATTTTCTCAAAGGCCGTTTTGAATAGCTGTGAGCATCTGGATTCTAAATTCCTATTTACCCCATAAGAGTGTTTTGATCTAGGAAGGACATACTGAGTGAAACGTGCTTCTTCAATCAACGGCAACTCAATTAAAATCGACCAGGACGCTTTTCTCAGTTCCCTTCCATTCCAAAGTATTAATGGATACCCACCAGGAGCTTGTCTTCTAATGGAGAGTGAAAAGGTAGGGAAGGTTCCTCTACTACATGCCACATATTATCTGACCAGAGGAGATGACACCCTAGTTAATGTGTCACCCTGATCCTAATGGCTTTCTCCTTAAATGGATTTACTAACATGGCTATCCACCCCTTCATCCATCACTGATATATTTCCATGGGTCTTCCTACAACTTCTGTCAAATACAATGATAAGTAAGGAAGAAAGATGTCGGGCCACACTTTTCTTTTCTTTCTTTTTTTTAAATCTCTATGTTTATTTTTATTACTTATTTTTGAGAGAGAGACAGAGTGTGACAGGAGGAGCAGAGAGAGAGGGAGACACAGAATCCGAAGCAGGCTCCAGGCTCTGAGCCGTCAGCACAGAGCCCAATGTGGGGCTCGAACTCACAGACCGTGAGATCACGACCTGAGCCGAAGTCAGACGCTCAACCGACTGAGCCACCTGGGCAACTTGAGGCCACACTTTTCAATCACCGGTCTACTCAGATTTGTAGCTCTTTCCCCAAAATGGGTGGCATTCTCAGAAGAATGAAATACTGTCATTGGTTTATCAATAAAAATTTTAGAGTTCCCTTAAACATCTTGAAGTCAGTATATCAATAGCATAGATAGATGAAGGATAGCTATTTTGCTAACAGTAGTTGTTATTTTTTCATTGGAATGTGATTGTTTGGGTTGAGTATAGACATATTTATTTAACTAGCTTTCAAACAACATTTGATATAGTATCTCAATAGCAGTGATGTGAATTTTGTGTGTGATACAGATGAGGGTAGGGGTTCCAGCCTCCTTTATTTAAATAGTTACCTGCTGGGGCGCCTGGGTGGTGCAGTTGGTTAAGCATCTGACTTCAGCCAGGTCACGATCTCGCGGTCGGTGAGTTCGAGCCCCGCGTCGGGCTCTGGGCTGATGGCTCAGAGCCTGGAGCCTGCTTCCGATTCTGTGTCTCCCTCTCTCTCTGCCCCTCCCCCGTTCATGCTCTGTCTCTCTCTGTCCCCCCCCCCAAATAAATAAAATGTTGAAAAAAAAATAAAAAAATAAATAAATAGTAACCTGCTGAGCATGTACCATGTGCCAGGCCTAGTTCTAGGTGTGAACTGGGACAAAACTCAAGATCCCAAGAGAGCGTCACATCCTAGAAGCCAGGGGCAGAAGGGATATCGAGGAGAATAAAGCAAGCAAGTTACATCAGATGCCACCAGTCATAAGTCAGGTGGCATGGGCACCGAGGGCTGAGTATGGGTTTGACAACAAGGTCATTGCCGACTCTGCTAGTAGCTAGAGTACGAGTCAGGAGGTTGGAAGCCTGCTTGGAAAAGCTTAAAAGAGAAGAGAGAAGAGAAATCGAAGGACGTTCCAAAGAAATTTCACTTCAAGGAAATGTTAGCGAGTGGGACCGTAGCAGGAGAGTTTGGTCAAGAGAAAGTTTCTATTTTTTAAGATGAGAGAAAACAAAAGCATGCTTGAAGGCTAATGCAACTGAAAGTCAAAAGATGCGTTGCTTATAAAACCAGAGCAAAGAGCAGAAATCAAACTGTACTCGTGGGGGCTGTAAAGCGAAATTAAAATCTAAACCATGTTTTAATATGAATAAACTTGCTGAGTCCACAACCGGTAGGTAGCTTTTAACTGCAGCAATCTGAGCTGTGTGCTAGAGACTGTTGAGTATTTTCATGTCAAGCTTTTATTTAACCAGGACGTTTTGGTCAAGAGCCTGATATGAAGTTTCCCTGAAGTGGATTTGAATGGTGTAAAATGTACTTAACCCTAAAACTGCATTGAGTAGTCTTGAGTCTTTTATGGTTTATATGATCCCTTAAGAAGTTGCAAGAAGTCTCAGGGTTAATATGATGAGCACTGTAAAATATTGAGTATAATACATAGGCAGATAGACTCATTTGGGACTAACCCTTTTATACTAACCTGTAAAGGGCCAGGTAGTAGGTAATTTCAGTTTTGCAGAGCCTAGGGTTTCTGTTGTAACTACTTTATTCCACCGTTGTAGACTAAATGTAACCACAGACAATGCTAAAGGAATGAGTGTATTCCAACAAAATTTTGCATGCAAAGGAAGACAGAGGACCAGATATGGACCATGGGCTATAGTTTTCCAGCCTTTGCCCCAGAGGATGATTTATTTTAAAAAAAATCTCTTGATGTTAGATAATATTATATTATGGTTAAGGCTGCAAAGCCTCAGGTAGCCTTGGGTGTCTCCCCCCCCTTTTTGGAACTGGTGGATTGACATAAGTAAATCCCTGACGTGAAGGAATATTACAGCATTCAATTTTCAGATTGTAGAGCCAGAGAAAGTGGTTTGGGATGACTTTGTGCAAATCACTTAGTCTGTTTAGGTCTTGGTTTACTCGTCTATAAAATGGGGAAAAGATCTATTTCATGAGATGATTGTGAAGAGTTATGAGTTCTTTGTGTGTGTGTGTGTGTGTGCTTGTTTTACCTATATCTCCTTGTTTCCCTGGATGTTGGCTCTTTGGCATAATGTTGAGTATGAAAATTTTCACGTATGGGTTTTTTAGTGTCTGTCATTTGGATGTCACGCAAGTGGAGGTTTGTGGTAAATCTCTTCGATAAGACACTTCACCCACCAAAGTCCACCTTCCCAAACCTCTACATCCTACCTTGATTCTCCAAGTCAAATGACGATTTTTAGTCTTAGTATGGTAGTTTCTCACAGCTAGTGATAATATCTTTGAAAGAGTTTAACCAGCTTCCATTCTTTGGTTTGTGAGGATGGCAAAGTATTAAAATCAAAACCCTCATCCAGTGATCTTCGTCTGTGTGAGCTACTGTGTTGAGATGTGGTCACTTGAGATGGAACCATGTGGGAGCAGGTCCTGTTTGTCAGAGTGATACTGTCTCTTGTTGGTTGTGTACATCACAACTGCCCTCTTGGCACTCTTGGGTCTGTCTGGACATAAAACACTAGACACCTGCATGTTCACATTCTCATGCCTTCCAGAATGTCTGGAGATTTGGTGAGCTACACGTTGCCCGAGGCCTGGCTGATAGAAGTTTGTATCAGCCCTGCCGGACAGGACTGGTCACATCTGTGTCTAACTTAACCCCACAAAGTGATGGAAAGCGTCTTAACAAATGAAGAAAACCCAACTTCCCTTTCGTCTCCATTCGGCATTGGGAGTCCCTGCAACTCAGGGAGCAAATGGGTCATCTCCTTGAACTTGCTGGGCTAGAGATGAGTTATAAGTAGAAGACAAGCCCACATATACTTCATCAGATGCCTCTGTAGGAAATACTATTCGTGTCCCCATGTTAGATGAGCCACCGAAGCACAGAGAAGTTAATAATCTTACCAGGTTATGGATCCTTTGGTCCCCTTGTGTCCGGGATCATCCCTTTGAGGCCATTACACTGGCCTGTCCATCTGAACGTGTTTTCTTCTTGTCTTCCATGGCACTTATGGATTGCATTACAATGGCCTGTTTCCCTGTTGCAGGACTTTGCACGGTGTCTCATGCTTAGCAGCGGTTCTATAAACTTCTGGTGATTCCATGCAAGAGGAAATGGTGTCAATGACACGAGATAAAAGCACTCATGCAAGAAAGAACTGGCTGAGGACATATTTAAAACAAAAGGGAACACTTCTCTCAGACTCATCAAGATGTATACATGGAACACGTTCAGCTTTGCCGCACGCCCCTCAAACCTCAATAAATGCATTGAAACAGAGGGGCGCCATTGCTGTAAGGACACTCATTGGCGAATGCTGCATCTTATTTCAATTCTAGTCGGCAACCCCCAATCCCACCATGGCATAACTCCATTACAGAAAATAAAACAAATAAATTCAGCAGGATGACAAGGAACAATAGCAGGGGCCAAAAGGAACAGAGGGAAGAAACTGGCCCAAACCGTTTTGTATTCTTCAGTTCTCTTTCATTTACTCCTTTTTGCAGGTCACTTTCCTTCTAACGAAACGAGTGGAGATGCTCCCTGCATTTCCCGTCTGTTGTTACTTATCTAGATGGGTGGTAAGTGCATTGGGTAGAGGTCACGTCTACACTCTCCAAGCCTTTCCAAAATATTTACACTATCGGTGGGGCCGATCCTTGTTCACAAACCCGACCCACCAGAGAAAAGAATGCAGAGTCTGTAGGAACCAACCAGCCTCCACTTGTGCTCAGGTTAAACTTTCCATCCCAATGCCAGACCACAAACAGCAGAGCGCCCCAGAAGTTTCCTGGAAATTGGGCAACACTGAGATGACCTTAAATCAGTGTTGCCTTGGAGATGGCTGCAGTGTGTTGGAATCAGCCCCGGAGCCGCGTGCCTGTCCCCGCTGACCTTGCCAAAGGGAAGGGCAAGGTCAGGAGGCCTTGGAAGAACCAATTCTGTGTGGCATATTGGTTTGGGAAAATATGTTTACACATTAAACCTCTTCATCTTTGGGTGTCTCCATTTGCCAACTACATGATCTCCTCTTTTGAATCATGGCATCGTCTCTTTGGTTCTCAGAGAAGGCTTATATTATGTGTGATGGCAAGGGCGGTTGTGATTAAAAAGTCGAGGTGTTGGACAGACCTAAGTCTCTGTATCTTCGAGTTAGCTGTTAGCAAGGTGATCAAATGCCAAAGAGAGAATTTGGTTTGCCTTTCTTTCGTGCCAACCCAAGGCTCGTGTCCTCCTCTCTTTGGTCCTTCCACACCATTAAAACAAGACTGGGTCTCAGCACAAAGACACTGCACTTGAATCTGAAGCTTTACTCCCATCACTGCTGCATCAGATGAAACCTTAGAAATCTCAGAGACCTTAGAAATCTGTAACCTGGCATCTAAGATCCTTGTTACTTATTCTTAAGGAACAAAGAACCTGCTGTTGCGTAGGTGGTAAAGAACACCCAAACTCCTCAAACATCATTTTTACTCTAAGGGAAACACTTGTCAGACTCCAGTCGTTTCAGATAGGATTCCTGAAAAAGACATTTCTTTCATTCTTCTCTCCCTACAGGCATAAACATTCTGCATTTTACACTTGAGACATACAATGTTATCTACTTCTGGTGTCTTATGTAACTTTTTAGGAATGCTAGGAGACTTTCCGGGCTCCGTGAGGTTGGGAATGGGGAATGGAGAGAAAGGCGTTGGAGGTATGGAGGGGGGTGGGGTGGAGAATGGGGAGGAGAAGAAAAATCCACTGTTTCCATACATCAACTGAGTTGGCTGTTTGTGACAAGAAGTTATTGCAATTAAGATACAAGCCGGATGTGTGGGCTAAACAATTTGAGCTGATATCACAGGCATTTATTGATAATGAAAACTCAGAGGAAGGGAGCTGGAAAACGGTTGTCTTTAGCGGTTTCCTAGGCAAAGGGACAAACCATACGGGTTAATCAAAAATTACCGCATCTTATCTAGGAGAAGAGAAAACTGTTTATTTTACTGCAAAAGGAATGTTTCTGTCAAGTTTTAACGTCAACCTTTTGGGTTAGGGCTTTACATTGTACACTCTGCCACACAGGCACATTGTTTTGCTTCAAACAATCATTTTGGAGTTGCCGGATGACCTGGCAAATGGCCCTAGCTATAAGAATAAGGGATAAACATTCAGAGGAGATCGCATCCAGAATACCTTGATTGTGTGGGCCACCTGAACCCGATTAAACCTGAATTTGTCTATCAGGAGAATAAGTAAATACTCCCTCTATACCTAATGAACTAAAATGGATTTTGTTTGAAATTATGCTATTTTCTTTTTCTTAAAAAATGTTTTTGAAATGTCTTATTTATTTGTGAGAAAGAGAGTGCACGGGAGAGGGACAGAGAGAGAGAGAGAGAGGAGACACAGAATCCAAAGCAGGCTCCAGGCTCCGAGCTGTCAGCACAGAGCCCGATGTGAGGCTCAAACACACGGACCCTGAGAACATGACCTGAGCCAAAGTCGGTTACCCAACCGACTGAGCCACCCAGGCACCCCTGAAATCATGTTATTTTCAAGCAAGACGTTATCGGGGAAAAAACAAAAACAAAAACAAAAACAAAATCAAACAAAAAAACAAACAAAAAAAAATAAAAATAAAGTCCTGAAATATTCTTTGGAAATGCAGTGGTAAGTTAATGAAAATAATTAGTAAATATCAGAACTCTTGAGAGAGACTACTTTAAAAGTAAAATATAAGAATAGAGCACTTTAGATAAATGCTAAGGAGAGAGTAAAAAAATCTGGAAATATTGCTAACATATCCAGGGAAATGCAAAGACAGTATAAAGAAAAGGCATGAAGTTTTCCAGAGAGTAACACTTCAAGATCCTTTACTAAAAAACTAAATGGTGCATATGAAATGAGCCTTCATAATTAGTCACCACACCTTCATTGCCCTCCTAAAAAAGGCACTTTGAAAATGACCTCATTTCCTATTTCTCTTGGATGAACACATTTATTAGCATGTTCATTTTCTCATCCTCCGTCGCATGACTAAGAAAGTCAGGTCACTTATCACCAATAAAACAAAAATTGGAAAAAAAAAGAAAAAAAAAAAAGAAAAAAGAAGAAGAAAGAAAAGAAAACAAAAATTGGATACAGATGGTTCCCCAAAGCATATCTACGTGAAAAAGATTGGCCTGCTAGGTTACTGAATGATACGAATGGGGTAATATCTCATTTGGGTTTTTATCAAGCTCAAAATCGCTCAAGCCCAGTCTGCATCAGTTCACAGACTTTCCAGAAACCACTCAGGTAAGTTGTTTGAGTTGGAACACACCTGAGATTATAATAAGGACTTAGGTTGCTTCTGGAAGACCTTCTAATAAAAGCTGAGTGCCAGAGAATTCGGATGAGCCGTCCCGGCTTTCAATATTTAGATAACGTTAGTGTCCGTTCTAGTTGGAAAGTGGCCTGTGTTGAATTTATCTATATCATAGACCATTACGGTGCCCTCATGGAAGATAGACTGTCTGGCTATCAGAAACAAGTAGTACGGCTCTGCTGTTCTCTGCAGAACTTTTTCTAGGAAAGCAGAGAGGACCCAGTAGGACCCAGTAGTAGAGGACCTGTTCCTTGTGAAGCATGGAACGATCCATCCTGTGGCCCGGCTTTCCCTCTCTCCATGAACACGTTCTAATCGGGCAACCAGAAATAGTATTCTATCTGGACCCAGGTGACAGATATGTTGGTGAAATAGATGCATACGAAGAAATTAACTTCCTTAGATATGAAGAGATTCATGTGCGTTGTAGACCAATCGAAAGAGCCAGAACTGGGGCACCAAGACTTAAAGCAGCTGCATTCTGAGGAGGCTCAGTTTCCCTGGCAACAGCAGCTCTGTAGACACGAACCTTGAATTTCTTTTAATGTTGTAGAGAAGAACACCTAAGCGACCATAGGTGGGGTTTTAGCCAGGTGTGTTTACAAAATCTTCCTGGAGTTTCCCTTACCGGGGGAGAAAGAGGAGATTTGTAAAATTTTCCAGATACGGGCTGAAAAAAAGCTTAGAGGCTCTTATTCCACGTGTGTCTATTCCGTTGTTTCTAGAGTATCTTTGAGGGTTGATATAGATGTTTCAAGACCCAAATTAACCATTTCGTGGGCCAACCCATTCATCATTTGTGTGTGTGTGTGTGTGTGTGTGTGTGTGTGTGTGTGTGTATGTGATCATACTCTTAGGGAAACTGAGGGGAGGAAAGATTTGGTAGCTGTCAACATCTTACATCATCGCATGCACTTAATACAATTTCCAGAAAAGAAACGAATGCCAATAAAGCACTGCTCCTCAATTCTTCCCGCTCACCTCACTCTTCATTGAGCAAGGACCACTACTCAGAATTACACTCCTCCTACATGCTTTACTTGCCTTCCTTAACCCCTAGTTTGGGCAAATGTGTCATCTTGACTTTAATTTATTCTCTACAGGGTTCATTATACCTGTGGTTGCTTTTCTATAGCATCACAGGGGATCAGAATTGCAAGCATGATCTTACCAAGGAAAGGGAGCCATATTTATCAACTTTCATTTGAAGCAAGGTCTCTCTCACACCTAAGTCTGATCCTCTGGAGTGGTACAGAATTAGTCTGCTTTCTTTTTTTTTTTTCTCCCCTGTGTTTTGCACGGAGAGCAGTTTTAGGTGTAAAGAAAAATGGAACAGATAGTACAGATAATTTGCATACCTCCCCTCCTGCATTCATTTCTCCCTATGACCAACATCTTGTATTATTGTGATACGTTTGTTATAAGTGATAAGCCGGTATTGATACAGTAAAATTAGGTAAAGTCTGCTGTTTTGGGGGTGCTCTTGATGTTGTGCAATATATGGGTTTTGACAAATGCATAATGATGCATATCCGCCATTCTAATATCACATAGAATCATTTCACTGCTCTAACACTCCTCCACGTTCCAACTACTCATCTCGCTCTCCCTGCCCCAGTCCCTGGCAACCACCCATCTTTCCCTGTCTCTACCATTTTTCTTCTTCAGAATGTCCCATTGTCCTAAAAATACAGCATGTAGCCTTTTGAGATTGGCTTCTCTCACTTAGCAATATGTGTTTAAAGTTCCCCCCACATCTTTTCATGGCTTGACCCCTCATTTCTTTTAACTGCTGAATAATATCCCATTGTATGGATGTAACACGGTTTATTTATCCACTTACCTGTTGACGGATGTCTTGATTGTTTCCAGTTTCTAGCAGCTATGAAGAAACTACTCTCAACATGTGAGCGTGGGTTTTTATGTGGACGTAAGTTTTCAATTCATTTGGGTAAATACCTAGAGGTATGATTGCTGGATCGTAGCGTAAGACTATGTTTAGTTTGGTAAGACATTGCCAAACTGTCCTCTATGTAAAAAAAAAATTTTTTTAATCTTTATTTTTGTGAGAGAGAGAGAGTGAGCA